GTTACAGCTAATTGGAGGTTACGAATTCGAATCCTTACACCGCAGAACGCTTTGACGACCTGTATGTGTGCGGGTATATTTTTTTGTGTACTAAGCTTAACTGTCGCCCAGCCCAAAACTCATGGTGGTGTGATTTGTCACTCGATAGCCCCAGAGATTCGAATTGTTGATACTAACCGTCAAATGGTGTTTTCTTTTGCCTACGGTGTGCATAGGCCGGCTCGGTGTCACACTCGAGTGCATATCATGGAACAGTACAACTTTATTCCGGAGACCAAACACAACAACATTACTGAAAAACAAATCGAACCGAAAATGGTGTGATAATTGGACTTCCCCGGAGTTTTGATCTCGCTTTCATCGTGATGCATGATGACCGGGAATAGCAGTTCGAGATCGACAAAAACCAACCGCATCCGTTTAATCAAGCATCGCTGATCAATCATACAACCTTCAGTCTGAGGAGTGTCTAACTCGCCCCGCCCCCACACACGTATGAGTTCAGATTGTGTGCCAAACAAATCACAGTAAAATAATATTTATGAAAAAAGAAAAAGGTCCATTATTTGCACGAGGGCATAATACGGTAGGTTACCCAGATTAACTCAGGTGAATTTTCCTAGGGAATCCACAACCGGAGCCTGCGGTTAACCAAAGCCTGACCCTCAAGGCAGCGGGGCGGTATCCAAAAACCGCAGTCTATTGGGGGCCGATATCCAGTCCATCGAATCAAACGCCCTTTAGACGGGGTCAAACGTCCAAGGTGCCCAAAACACCCCGATGCCCAATTGAGCCGGGTGATCACTATCACGATGAGGAAGTGTGTGCGTGGTTCATGCACCTTGCCTTGGTTGGTTTGGAATCATTGGACTTTGGTGGGAATAGATTTCCGTGAGTAGGTTGTACGAGCGCATTTCGCGAGGTGCAACAGAGAGGTGATCAGAGGGAACCCGAATCCTCCACCCCGAACAAAATGAAGCTTTCGGAGGACCGGGCGGAGAATTGCGTGAATACTCACTTCGCCGCTTTCTTGTTGTAATTTCAACAGCAAAATCAAACTGACTCAATGCTACTCCTGCCGGACAAATCGCTGGCCGCGTCCGGTCAAACACGATGGGACGATTCAACATTATTGTGAACATTCACAATTCGACTGTTGTCACGGTCTGTGCGGATAAATTTGTGGACGAATCTCTAGAGATATAAGATAACAAACAGTCTACGAATCATTCGTGTAGTACTAGGAGCAACTCTGCAAGAACGGATGGACTCGAGTATTCTCACCATATCCTGTTGGGACTTCACTAGGGAAAATCCAGGGTTCAACAATAGGCGCAAGTACTGCATGTAAGCACAAATGTGTTGAACGGAACCCGAAAAGGACTGACTCACAAACGAATCAGTCGTCTGAAACGGCTTTGTATTGCGGTGATCATCACGAGGCACTGGAGGCTAATATTAGAGTGAATGAAGGAGAAGAACTGTCCACATGGTGCATTTTCTCTCCTATTTTTGAAGACTGAAATTTGACCTTGAGAGAACCGTTGACAACTTGGCAACCTATATCGAAAGAATTTGTCGAAATGCACTAAGGCAAACCGTGACGAGTTGTGTGAGATACAGGGTGTGATGAGCAAACAAGTATGCAATTGCCTGTGGTCACCCTCGTGTAAAATGCGCACACGAAAGACGCTAGGTCAAGGTCGAAGACGATCCATCACCCATCGAATGACCGATCACATAATGGGAGGGGGTGACAACACGGCTGGTTTGTTAGTTATCCCCCATCGACCCCAATGTCCCACTAGTTTCGCTCTCAATGTACAGAAAAACCGGAATCACCGGACCAATCGAGTGAATGATATTGCCATGTAACCCTTGTGACCCAATTGCTCAAAGGTCCTCACCGGTCAGGATAGCACAACTCCCGTTGAGTCTGAATCAACGTTATTGACAGGGTAACTAACAATCTAGTTCGAATCAACGGTCAGCTGATACTACACGCGTTTGCAGATGCGCACATGTACCGCAGAACAACTACACTGTCCGATTACTTGACAAGTGACATGTATTCACTGGTTTATCGATCACGTCACGTTATGCGTGTCTGCAAATCGGTTTTGCTCATTCATACGGTAAACAATTGGTTCAGAAAGCGGTTGTTGTAACGTCTGGGTCGTGATGCAGTCGTCTACACCCTAGTCAGGCTGAGCAATGCACCGTTTGGCCTCATGGATTGTCAAAACTAAACCAAAATCAATGATAGTAGCAAAGTACCCTCTGTTGGGATCGAAGTTGTTTGCTCTCATGAGGTCCTCCAGACCTGAGGTATCACCCATCCGGGGCAAACAGAAGCGGTATCGCAATTCTACAAACACCGAAACTGCTCTAACTTGAATGTGTTTGTGCAACTGAACGCACAGGTGGAAGCGTATGCGAATTCATCCAAACCTCGATCTTGGTGCCCCAAACTATCGACCAGTCCGGATAATATCGGCGTGTCCGCGTTTTATGCATATGTTTGAACGTGAATATTGGAAATCTTAGACTTCAGACAGCCATCGGTCAAATCATCGACGGTGCCTAACGACATGTGAACGCCCGAAAACTGTTTGAACAATCTCTGACCGGTTCCATCAGTAAAACAAATCAAAGCTATTAATGTATAGAGATGTATATGCATATGAGCAATTCTCGTAGGTAGTGGCAGAGTTGGATAGGTATGGGGAACGGGGTATGTAAAAAAAAACATAGACATTCGATTCAAGTGGGTCGCGGTGGTGGTGGTAGGGGTGGGGTGGGGTTGGACGAGGATCAAATTTGGTGAGACGGATGGGGCGTGTCGGGGCGGACTAAATTTCGGACCGATCGCAAGAAAGGCAACGTAGGGAGCAGAAAGTCAGAAGCTGAGTTGATCGATAGAGTAAATGTCAGTGAGAATTAAAAAAAAAATAAACAACTTAAGTGAGCAGTGATCATTCAGCTTCATGAGAGATAGCTGAACCAACTAACCGTTCGAGGACGGGAATGAACAGAGATGGAGATGGAATTGAGAAGGAGAAACAGTCACAAGGAGGAATTAGAAACGAAATGGTGGTTTCTGGTCGTGAGATCGCCTTTTGTTGATACACCCGGCCGAAGAACAAACGGCATGATCAATGCACATGAATAACCCGTGGGTGGGAAAAGGTGGGGCGAGTGAGGACAGAAGAAAATTGCAAGTTCAGGGTTCGGTAGGAAGACACTGTTTTACGTGGCACAATGCAAGGCAACTCGGAATCAAATTGGGGACGGGGAGCAGAACGAATGTGGTAAAGCAGAGAGCAAGCATAAACGAGGGGTGGGCGGGGTGACAGATCACTGCAATCAGGCTAGCGTGGAAATTGGATGAAAGGCAGATAAATCAGACAATGAGCATATCACCCGGAGAATAGAATATCAGGATGATAACAAACATCACTGAACGGTGCGTGGGATAGTGGGAAGACAAACCAGAGTCCAGTGCACACAGGCGTGTTAAACGGATATCTGTCAGTTGATGCCATGTCACATCAATGTGTACGAGCGCACACAAGCGCAATCGTTGTTGTCATCATTGACCCCATATCCGGGTGTGATCAAGGCAGGTAGAGGAGGGAGGAAGAAACGATGGAATTCGAACAAGAATACAAGCACCGATCAAACGAACATTCCTCGTTTGCCGTTGTGAGAAAGAAATGTACAATAGAGCACAAGGCATCCTAGAAAAAAACATACGTGGTGAGAAATGAAACAACCTTGGTCACTTCGTGAGTTATTCGATAGGTCAAAAAGAGAAATAACGAAGGACAGTGAAGTAAGAAGAGAAGTGGAAGCTATCTCTTGATCGGGGATCATACGAATGATGAAGTCAAGAAATTCGGGGTGGGGTGGGAGTAAGAGAAGGATACTGTACAACCGGGGTCGTTGAATACGACCCTGGACGAGTCCAAACGAATGTCAGTTAGTGAAAATGAAACAAAAATGGCACATTAAAGAAAATCTAGTTAA